TTACTTTTTTAGACCCACTAAAGTTAGAAGTGATTTAGGATAGCATGAATGATAGAGCTGGACTTGGAACAGCCCAGGCTGGCCAGCTCTCACTTTACGTTGTTGGAGAGAGACCCTGTCACCTCTGAACATGGTTTGTTGGCGGGAACAGTCTGAAAGTCACCAAGACGCAGTGACAGCCTCACCACCAGTTCACAGACTGTGATCATGAGCCAGTGGTGAGCCCCTGGTCCAGCCTCAGTTTTGTTACTGGACTCATGCGACTCGAGCATGTGTCTCTGCTCAGGTCTCCTTCTCTTTTCTCTGCCTCATCAAAGCTTCTGAACCATGTGGCTTAGGGGGAAGCAAGGCTCTTTTGTCTGTTTGGGAGAGGCCATAGCCATTTCCAGCCTAGTGAAATGAGGCTAAAATGAGGGCAGGACCCCAGAGATGTCAGCAGGCTGTCCCCACATTCTAGGCAACATGGCAGTTAATTCCATGGCACTTTCGAGATGTGGTGTGGTCTAATACAACCATTGAGAGTACATTCTGAAGCTGGGCTGCCAGGACTCACATCCCAGCCCTGTTGGTTATCATTCTGTGTCTTTCTGAACCTCAGTTTCCTTATCTGTGAAATGGGAATAACCCAGGTACCTCCTTCAGGGGGTTGTAATGATCAAACAAAACTTGTGAAGTGCTTAGAGCAATGCTTGTCACATAGTACATGTTCAGTAACTCTAGGATGACTTATTTGTAAATACGATGACTTATAAGTTTAAAATGGAATTCCTTGGATGGTCTGGTTTCTCTGTTTTCTGAGAATATTTCCTAGACTCCCGTTTTATTGGATTTAAATGAGAGAGACCATCCCCTGAATTGTTTTGGAGCCAGAATAGGAAAAAAAAATATGACAGCAGTTTCTTAGAGAAACACCAGAACCACAAAAGTTACTGGAAGTTAAAATTTAAACCCATTCAATTAAATTGTAATCAGAATTGTGGCTGTCAGTTACTGTGTTGGGTAAGCAAGCGTAAGATAGGCCAAGAATGTTCAGATTCTTTAATGTTTGTTTTTATAAGAATTACTTGAGGGAAAAATAACTCACCTTAAATGATTGTATTATGCCATTAAGAGACTGAAAAGGATAAAATATTAATAGAAGCCAAATTATAAATCCTAAATCATGACAGGCATATACATATGCCTGTATTAAAGGGAAAAAAGTGAACTTGTTAGTTGCTCAAGTCGTGTCCAACTCTTTGCGACCCTAAGGACTGTAGCCCACCAGGCTCCTCTGTCCATGAGATTGTCCAGGCAGGAATACTGGAGTGGATAGTCATTCTCTCCTCCAGGAGATCTTCTGGACCTGGAGGTGGAACCTGGGTCTCCAGCATTGCAAGCAGATTCCTTACCATCTTAGCCACCAGGAAATGCCTGTATTAACTGATCCTTTTTTGAGATAGCTGGTGGGTTATACTTTAAGTGTGGAAATTCCAATTTACTCTATTTCAGTGGTTGCAATGGCCTTATCTTGATGTTTCCTTAAGTGTGAGTTCCTCCAGCTATTAAAAGATATTAGGGGGAAAATGGGAGGGGAAATTCCTTGGTCAAGTAAGTTTGGGAACCTTGAATTAAATGAAAGTAAACCAGTTTCCTTAGAGGGTTTTGGCTCCTCAGAGAGCTTTTACTGTGTGAGCTGTAAGTCTCCTAGGGAGAAATGACATGTAGTGTTTCATGTTCCATTTGCCGGCTTCCGGCAGGAGGTCAGTGCCCCAGAGCCGACTCTGGGAGATGCAGACTTCGAAGCACTGCTGCTTTCGTTGTGTTTCAGGTGAATCCTGCCGAGCTATAGCTGCAGACTAGCCATGGAGGAAGGCCACAGACGAGGCTGGGAACTGGATGTCCGATGCCTGTGCCGTGGGGGGCTTCCTCTGAAGGCACTAGCTCTCAGGCATCCTGACTGACCCCATCCTTTCCGTCCTCTGGCAGCTCTGGGAGGGGATCTGATCACTGCTCCCAGTTTAGGAACAGGAAAACCAACAGCCAGAGGGCGTCATTCACTTGTGCAAACCTGACAACTAGAACGTGGTGAAGCCAGGATGTGAACTCAGTACAGGGGCCTGTGTTCTTCTTCCCTCGGATGTTTGGTCATGTGTGTATGTGGTTTGTACGCTGTGTGTGTGTGTGTGTGTGTGTGTGTGGTTTGTATGTCGTGTGTGTGTGTGTGGTTTGTATGCTGTGAGTGTGTGTGTGTGGTTTGTATGTCGTGTGTGTGTATGTGGTTTGTATGCTGTGTGTGTGTGTGTGGTTTGTATGTCGTGTGTGTGTGTGTAGTTTGTATGCTGTGTGTGTGTGGGTGGTTTGTATGCCCTTGGTGTGTGTGTGTGTGTGTGGTTTGTATGCCCTGTGTGTGTGTGTGGTTTGTATGCTGTGTGTGTGTGTGGTTTGTATGCCGTGTGTGTGTGTGTGGTTTGTATGCTGTGTGTGTGTGTGTGTTGTAGACCCTGTGTGTGTGAGTGTGTGTGTGTGTGTGATTTGTATGCCCTGTGTGTGTGGTTTGTATGCTGTGTGTGTGTGTGTGGTTTGTATGCCATGTATGTGTGCATGTGTGTGGTTTGTAGGCCCTGTGTGTGTGAGTGTGTGTGTGTGTGTGTCTGATTTGTATGCCCTGTGTGTGTACATGCCCAGGATAGGCTGGTGATAGTGAGAGAACAGCATGTACAGTTGACCGTGAGTTTTGTGTGGCTGGAAGGATGTTTGGAAAGGGCGAGACATGAAATCTGCACTCTGAGTAGGTGCAGACCCTGAGGATCCCGTCGATTCCACAGAGGAAGTGGGATTCCTGTAATGGAACCTTCTACTCCGTCTCCCATGTTCCCATAAGAACTTTACAAGCAACCTGCTTATGGGTAAAAACAGTCCAGACCCCTGGGTTGGAGGCTAGGGACGGACACTTACGTTTTGCAAGTGGACTGGTTATTGTCACTAACTTGCTGCACTGTGCATGCCACCCAAACACAGGTGATGCACACAGGTGTCCGGAGGGTCCTGCTGACACATGCCCTGAACAACACAGGGGATAAAAAAGGGCGATACTTCTCCTGCAGGTGCAGGTGCAGCTCCCTGCACTTGTGCAGCTGATGAGGGTGTGTTTCGTATGTATCCAGAAGGGAGGGAAAGGTGTGTAGAATGTAGCTCAAGGAGATGGAGCTAAATATTTAATGAGCTTCTAGGGTCCCTTTTAAGGCTTAAAGAGGTACGAGTGGGACTGCTCTATCTTCTCAACAAGTGAATTGTTTTTTAATTTAATAGTATTAAAAGTGTACACAGTGCTATAGTTAAAATAAATCACCAACAAGGACCTACTGTATAGCACAGGGAATGCTGCTCAATGTCATGTGGCAGCCTGGATGGGAGGGGAGTTTGGGGGAGAATATATACGTGTGTACATATGGCTGAGTACCTGGCTACCTGAAACTATCACAACATTGTTAATCTGCTATACTCCTATACAAAATAGAAAATTTTAAAACATACACACACAGACATTTACATATACGTGTGTACATATGGCTGAGTACCTGGCTACCTGAAACTATCACAACATTGTTAATCTGCTATACTCCTATACAAAATAGAAAATTTTAAAACATACACACACAGACATTTACATATACGTGTGTACATATGGCTGAGTACCTGGCTACCTGAAACTATCACAACATTGTTAATCTGCTATACTCCTATACAAAATAGAAAATTTTAAAACATACACACACAGACATTTACATATACGTGTGTACATATGGCTGAGTACCTGGCTACCTGAAACTATCACAACATTGTTAATCTGCTATACTCCTATACAAAATAGAAAATTTTAAAACATACACACACAGACATTTACATATACGTGTGTACATATGGCTGAGTACCTGGCTACCTGAAACTATCACAACATTGTTAATCTGCTATACTCCTATACAAAATAGAAAATTTTAAAACATACACACACAGACATTTACATATACGTGTGTACATATGGCTGAGTACCTGGCTACCTGAAACTATCACAACATTGTTAATCTGCTATACTCCTATACAAAATAGAAAATTTTAAAACATACACACACAGACATTTACATATTCTGAGTCTCTCTGGTTCCTGAGTTTGTACCTAGTAAGTGAGGGCTGGATAGGGAGGGATTTATCTGAAAATGTATCAAAATATGTTCAGTTCCTGGGTTTGGATTTGCATCACAAGGAGTATTTAGATTGGAAAAACCAGTGAAGACCTTATTCATCTTTTCTTTTCCCAGAGAAGGTGAGTGTCTCCTTAGCCAATGGGCTTCTCATCATTAACAGTAGCAAGATTGTGACCTAATAAAGGTCATGGAGTGGGTCATTTATAAGGACAGGACTAGAAAAAAGTGAATTCCTCTGAGTCCAGGAGTCTTGCCGCAAGGCCTCCTATGTACCCTGAGCAGTTATAGTCTGTCGGCCCTTGCTTATAGTAAGTGCTCAGCAAAGGAGCAAGAGACCCCGGAATCACGAGTTATTATGAAACCCTCAATACCAAGAATAAGAGTAGAGGGTGTATGTGGGTATCTTTGAAATTAAAAATTTATATAGTAGGAAGATTTAAAAAGTTCATTCTGAAAGAAACTTAAGTTGATCAACTGTGTTTTGAAGAAATAACACCTGGCCTCAGTTGAGGATTTGTTTTATCCCCATTTAACTTCTGCTTGGTTATTTGCCGCTTACTTTCCGTTCTCTTTAAGTTACACAGAAAAGGACGGGGGACTTTCAGGGCCTGGGACCCCTTTCGAGGCCCTGTAAGCCAGGGCTGTTGCTGGCCTGTACCCCAGAGCAAGCAGCTGTGGCCAGGGATCCGTGTATGGCAGGATCCACTTGCGTTTGTGGGATTTGCTTTTTCTTTTCAGACAGCTTTATTTGACTGGTTACCAGAAGGCTGATTTTCATCTCTGTGCACGGCGTAACTTTACCATGTCTATCCTTAGGTGGGTTTGCCGAGTTCTCCCGCTGTTTCCCTGGCCTCTGTGAAGGAAAGTCCACCCTAGTCCCCACCTGCATCTCTCAGCCTTGCTTACCTGTTGCCAACATCGGGCCAACCCGAATTCTGCCCAATCTCTATCTTGGCTGCCAGCGAGATGTCCTCAACAAGGTGGGTGCTTTGAAAATATCCTTCATTGCAGGATTTCTTGACAGCAGCCGGAGAGGCACCAGTGGGCCATCCTTTCAGATACAAATGTCCTCAAAGCAACTCCCCAGCCAGCAGCCTTACCTCCTCCCCCATGCTGTCAGCTATGATGTTCTGTTCGCTGTCAGAGACCTAAGCCATTGTCAGATGTGCTGTTCTTACAGGTCCAAGAGACCTGTGACAGGACAGGGATTTTCAGAAGTTTCACCCCCTTTTCTTAGATGTTCTGTTACAGTAACTGGGCACACTCAGGAAGGCTAATACCATCTAGACTAGCTCACACTTAGAAATGTGTGCATTTGCTGCATCAACTAGGAAAGAACTCAGAGTGGCTTGGATTGAGGAAGATTTCATGATGACTTCCCCCTTCCAGAGGGGTGGGGGAGGGGGATCAAAAGATGGTGAGGACCAGTGCTAAGAGGATGCAGTGCAGATGCCCTGCCTGAGGTTTCTTGAAGCAGTCTGGTGGAGATAGGAGAGGGAAGAACACGAATCCTGGATGTAAAGGATGTGAGCCATCCTGAGCCAGGTGTGGCCGACAGAGGAGCCATGTTGAACTAAGGTCTGTCTGTCTCCACAACTTTTATGCTCTTAACCAGTGTTACTAGAACACACCTCTAACTGCCTGCAAAGTGATGTCTCCAAACCTCTTATTTGGTGGTGGTTTAGTCACTAAGTCATGTTCGACTCTTGTGATCCTATGGACTGTAGCCCGCCAGGCTCCTCTGTCCATGGGATTTTTCGAGGCAAGGATGCTAGAGTGGGTTGCCATTTCCTTCTCCAGGGGATCTTCCCAACCCAGGGATTGAACCCTGGTCTCCTACATTGCAAGGAGATTCTTTACCGACTGAGCTACCAGGGAGGCCCTAAATGTATTATTTACATCACCTCTAATTAAAAAAGCAATCAGAGATCTTAATTCAGCTGCTGGTGATTTACAAGTGCTGCTTTCTCATGTGAAAAGGACTGCCTGAATATTTCTCCTTGAGTAGCTGAAAGAATTGGACTGGCTATAAAAATGAACTTCCAAACGGGCTTGCTTTAGCACATGGAAAGCAAAAACACCCTATCATTGGGCAGCAAGGAGGCATTCTTTTTACTACTTCTTTTATTCTTTTTTTGCTCTTAAAACCCCTGCATCTTCAAAATTTTGCCTGGACATTGTTAGTATGTCTGCTGTTACCATGAGGCATTTGAAATTTGATAGTGCGTGCTTGCACTGAGACTTTCTGGTGGGGTCATGATGTCTTTGAGCACGTGATTCTTATTAGTCCTCTGAGAAATAAGCAAACTGTGTCACAGCGTGCGTGCTAAGTCACTTCAGTTGTGTCCTACTCTTTGTGGCCCCATGGACTGTAGCCAGCCAGGCTTCTCTGTTCATGGGCTTCTCCAGGCAAGAAGACTGGAGTGGGTTGCCATTTCCTACTCCAGGGGATCTTCCCAACCCTGCATCTCTTATGTCTTCTGCATTGGCAGGTTCTTTACCACTAGCGCCCCCTGGGAAGCCCTTTGTCACAGCAAGCAAAGTTAATTTCCTACAGTCAGACACATCCCTAGGGCAAAGCTGGAGATGCTTTATGTAATCCTCAAATCAGAAAATAAAATAAAATGAAGTAAAATTCCTGGTTGTGGATCCTGTCCAGGATTGCCCCCCGTAAAACTTCACCAGTCAGCTGGCAAGCAGATGATTTTTACCAATAATTGCATTACAGGTCATTTTTGTTACTTTTGATATTCAATGAAACGGTACCATGATTATGTTTCGTACCTTCTCCAGGTTTAACAGATGCATCAGTTAACAGCTAAGTGAGCACCCACAGGGTGAGAGCAGTGAAACTGGAACTTGAAGTTGAGGTGGGAGGGGGAGATAGTTTTCTATTTTTAATTGGCTTCTAAATGTCTGTATGGGAAACAGGATACACCCATCTATGCCTTGAGAGGAAATGGAGACTGGGCTTATAGAAGCTGTGGGAAACAGCTTGAGCAGGGTCGTTCTGCAAGACCCTGAGAAAGTGGCCTTAGAACCTACGTACATGCAGATGTGTGAGACGTAAGGGTGTTTTCAAGTGGTGAATGGAAATGCCTATGTACGTAACCTCTGGATTCATAGTTGAGAAAACTCTTAGTTCTGGAGGCAGTCTTACAGACCACTTAGCCTCCTTCATTCAATAGCGAGGAAACTGCTATTCCAGAAATGTTACACGAATTCCACACCATCACCCTGTCATTGAGTTTTGGAACCACACTTGTTTCTCTTTCTCAGGCAGCATAAACTCACCTTCCTGCTCCACTGTGTGGTTTAAACTTTCCAGGAGAAATAGTGTGCTAATTTCCAGAGCTCTCCAAAGATGGAGATTTTATCATCTTCGCTAACAGTGTATTCCTTTTTAGTCAAACTTAGAAGATGAAGTCTTTGAGAACAAACACCACAAAACCTCTAATTTTATTAGTCGTATTATTTATTTATTTTTAACAGAGTACCACCGAAGTATCTTAAAAGCATGTCATAGAAATTTTCTTAAGAGGATAATAGTGTTTAACATTTAAAATGCTAGGCTCAAAAAAAAAGAAAATAAAGTGCTGCACTCTTTATGTTACTGCATTTAACCCTCATAATAGGATTTAGAGGCAGGTTGGCCCTGAGTTGTATGACTTGCTTACCCACAATTTTGGACTAAAACGCCATTGACTTCAGAGTTAGTCAGTGGGAGAGATCATTCTCAAACCTAGTCTACTCTGGCTCTGAGTCCTGTGTTTATAGAACACCAGAAATCCTCATTTCCTGGAAAATGGAAATCTCCATAAGAGGCTGTTAACAAAGGAATGAGATTCTAATGGTCTATGGAATCTAATTGAAATTGTTTCCCTGCTTTTTCTACAGCGTAGTCTATACCAGAACCATCCCATAGAAATAGAATGCAAGCCACACATATAATCCAAAATGTTCCAATAGCCTTGTTTTTTTAAAGAAGTTAAAAAAAAAAGTGCTAATTTTTAAAATATATTTATTTATTTTTTATTTTATGACTGCACCACTTGACATGCAGGATCTCAGTTCCTCCAGCCAGGGATTGAACCCATGCCCCCTGCATTGGAAGCGCAGAGTCTTAACCACTCGACCACCAGGGAAGTCCCGTGAAATCAATTTTAATAACATTTATCACCCCATATCAAGAGTATTATTTCAACTGGCAATCAATGTAAAACTTACTGGCACTTTACATATTTCGGTACTAAGTCTTGGAAACCTCGTGTGTGTGTGTGTGTGTGTGTTGTGGTCACTGCTCCTCTGGCTGTGGATGAGCCACATGCGCCGGCTTCCACCTCAGACCTTGCAGCTCATGTAATTGTTTTTACGTCTGTCTCAGAGATGTGACTGTTCTGTAGGAGACTGTAGGAAGGCATCGGTAGTGAAAAGAACACCCTTCCCCTCACATGTGCGTTTCGTTCCTACACTCTGTCCTCCTCTGGTCTTTGTACTGGAGTCCGAACAGGAATAGCAGTTGTACTAAAGCAGTTTGCAGGTGCCGGTTCACATCTGACTGCGCTTGGAACCAGAGCCTTGTGGTTAAAATGTTCAAGACAAAAGTTCTTGATGTTTTCTCCTCTCTTATCAGTTAAAATTCCAAGTGGACTTTGGTTTCACCCTTACACACAGGATGTGTGATGGAATTACCTACCGCGCATCATTCTTGAGCCTGAACCTGTTCAGCTTCTTCACCCAACTCAACTCTACCCCTCTCTCCCCATTTTAAACAGGCTGCTGTCAGCCTTCTTTGGGTAGCCTCTTTTTTGTTAGTATTTATTTGTTTATTTGGCTGCACCAGGCGTTAGTTGCCGCATGCAGGATCTAGTTCCCTGACCAGGGATCGAACCCAGGGCCCCTCACTTGGAGTCTTAGCCACTGGACCACCAGGGAAATCCCTGGGTAGCTTCTTTTTTCAGTCTTCCAATGTGCAAAGTTGGCTTTCCTGTGCTGCCTTGCTGTTCTGCCCATCACCAGGACTACTGCCACTTTCTCTGGTATTTTCATTTGAGAGTTAGGCAGGAGCCTAGATACCGTATAGCCAAATACTGCTTTCAGTTTTCTCTGTGATCTAGGAAGACAAAGGGTCATGTTGTCAAAATGGTAAAAATATTTACTCAGTGTCCACTGTGTGTAGAACACCACATAGAGTGCAGGTTGGTTAGACAAGACCTGTTCATGAGACAGGTGACTTAGGGCTTGAGTGACGGTTGGCTTTGCATGGGGTGGATTTGCATCCCAGCTGGCTGGCCTCCCCAGGCAGAGCACCTGAGCCAGGTGACGGAATCCGCTTCTTCACCTGCAAACTGAAATGACTCCTGCCTCCTAGTGTTCACTTGAGGCTCCAGTGACAAGGCATTATGCCAGGCACTGAGCACATTTCATGGTTTATAGGGGACTCTGTTATTGTCACCATGGGTGGAGTATACCAAGGTCTAGGGTGAGTGGTAGATACAGTGGGTGTGGCTGGTTAAGAAGGGCTAGCTGGAGGAGGTAGGTCAATTCTGAAGGCAAAAGGAGTGGCGAATACAAACTTATTCAGTTGACTTCAGAAAGAAAGATTACAATCCCTTTAGAGTCCCTTTAGAGTTGGAGTGCCTGTGTGATTTAATGAGACCTCTGTCCTCAGCCTAAGTGAACATAGGAAACTGGACCAAATAGAGCAGTTTAATTAAGGCTATATATTAAATCTATCTTCCATATGTTACTCTACTCAGAAGACCACAGAGCCCACATTTAGAAATTAGTCCCACTATTGCGGAAAGTTTATTTCATGGTTTAAGAGAAAGAAACTTAAATGGGAAAAGACTAGTGACTGCAAACCATAGTAGTAAAATGAAGATTTATTTTTGGATTCACAAAAATTATTTTTTAACATTTTCTTAATTGTGTTTTGAAACTAGAATCTTTTTATTTTATTTTTTCTTTCTTTCTTTTT